AAACTCAGAAAATTTTGGTCCCCCGCTTTCAGGGTCTTATTTGTTGGGGTACAATTGGCATAACTGACTTGTCTGTCTTATCTTTAAGGTCATGAAAGAAAATATTGTACGTTTGGAAAGACCTTGACACAGGTAATGCACATGTAAGAATATAAAACTCCTGACTTTTCAGGTACAAAAGCTACTGCAAAGGTAAGAATACTTGAAAAGTAGATCAAACTTCAAGGTCAATAACAAGTGTACATTCAGAAAGGTCTTGTAACAGGTATTGCATACAAAACTACGAAAGCATTCAAAAGTTTAAATTTTTGAAAAGAAAGTCATACTTCAAGGTCGAGGTCATGAGGTAAAAAAATCATAGTATATTCGAAAGTCCTCTCATAAGTAATGTACGTGTGAGATACGAAAGACCTGTCTTTTCTCATTCATATTTTTAAAAGTAGGCAAAACGTCAAGGTCATGAGGTCAAAATCAAGGTATATTTTGAAAAGGATTTTTCACAGGTAATGCATATATGAAATATAAGAGTTCAATTTTTTTCTCAATCCAAAGTTATTACCAAAGTTAAAAATTGGGAAAAGTAAGTCAAACTCCAAAGTTAAGAGGTCAAAATCAATATACATATGTACATTCTGAAGTGTCTTATAACAGGTAATATGAAAGCCCAATCTTCTTCATTCACAAGTTATGATCAAGGTTAAAGTTTTTTTGACTGAGAGACGGACGGAATGACGAATGAGATTTTTCGGCACTTTTGCAAAATCGAAAGACAACTAGAATCTGGTTTGTTAGGCTTTATGGGGCACAAATAAAAAAAACACAACAACAGAATATATAACTAAACGTAAAAAGTTACACTAGTAAATTGGACATTGCAAATGAGTTCAACTCATATTACATGTACCAAAAGGGTATTATTTACATTTAAAATGTATTTTCCTTTAAAAATGTAATAAACTGTGAAGAAAACATTTGGCATGTTGAAAATCACAGATGAGAATCGAATCACCGCATCTAGATGGGTTTGAATACAATTTTTGTGATTGTTTTATTAAATTTAATGTTTCGCGTGATCATCTACATCCTGTTTTCATTTTCTGATATAATTGTAGTAAATTTAAAATTGTTTATAACAAAAAAAAAATTCCTGTTTCTAAAAAGTAATACTAGCACTATATCTTTATGCACAGTGGATGGCTAAAAGAACAAAGGTCTCTGACGAGACTGTAGCTCTACTTGTTTGTACTTATAACAAAGGAAGAGAAAATTAGCACTTGCACTTGAAACTTTGCAACGGCAATAAACGATCCTTGGTTAAGTCTCTTTTTATGGCGATATTTTTGCAATCAGGCTAAAACTGTAGGAGGAATAACCGTTTGAAAGAATTTAACAGAAATTTCTAATTTAACCATGAAAACATCATTCATCATAATCAAAAAAGATAAAGACAATTATGTATCTCAGTGTACTCTACTTGCATGCCAAGTTATATTAAAATCAGACCAAACCATAGGAGGAGTAGTGTTTTGAAATTATTTCTCAGAAATTTCTATTTTTAGTAACCATGTCAACACTTCACCAAATCAAAAACCAATATACAGAATACTGTATCTCAGTGTATTCTACTTGTGTGCCAAGTTATATTGAAATCAGACCAAAACTTTAGGAGTAGTAGTGTTTTAAAGTATTACAGAAATTTACATTTTTATTAACAATGGCAACACCGTTCTTTGAAATTAAAAACTGATGTATAGAATTATGTATCATAGAGTTGTCTAATTAAGTGCCAAGTTATATGAAGTCAGACAAAAACTGTAGGAGAAGTGGCGTTTTAAAAAAAAAATCACAGAAATTTCTATTCATAGTAACTATAGCATCACCGTTCATCGAAATGAAAAACCGACATAAAAAAAATTGAATTTTAGTGTAGTCTACTTGTATGCCAAGTTATATTGATGTAAAGGGAGTAGCGTTTTGAATGTATTTCACAGAAATTTCTGTTTATAGTAATCATGGCAACACCGTTCATCGAAATAAAAAAAGCATAAAAAACTTTGTATCTCAGCGAAGTATACTTGTGTGCCAAGTTTTATTGAAATCAGACCGAAACTTTAAGAGGAGTAGAATGTATTTCAGAGTTTTCTATTTTAGTAATCATGGTACGTAACGCCGTTCATTGAAATAAAAACCGATATAGAAAATTATGTATCTTAGTGTAGTCTACTTGTGTGCCAAGTTATATTGAAATCAGACAAAAACTGTAGGAGGAGTAGCGTTTTGAATGTATTTCACAGAAATTTCTATTATTAGTAACCATGGCAACACAGTCCATCAAAATCAAAAACCGATATACAGAATTATGCATTTCAGTGTAGTCTACTTGTGTGCCAAATTATATTGAAATCAGACCGAAACTGTAGGAGGAGTAGAAATTTGAAAAAATTGTTTATAGACACACGGACAGGCAGACGACGGACACCTTACTATCGCATAGGCTCTTCTGGTCTCTGACCAGTAGAGCTAAAAACCGGTTGCCACTACTCTCGACTGGTCTCTACAGTTTGCATTGTTGCCCTCTTGGCTGTTTAATTTTAAAAGAAATTAAAAAAAAACATCTCAAGTTGATCATGGCACGAAAAAGATTCTTAATTGCACAATGGCCAAATGGAATCAATTCATTGTCCTCTATCAGTGTTGTATAATAAACTTTACGCATAGCAAACCTTCCCCCGGAGTGTTAAAGGGGCTTGGACACAGATTTGAAGCTCATATTTTCTAAAATTTTCAATATAATAATATGACATAGGTTGCTAGAGCATTTCACACCGAAATAAAATAAAAGCAAGTTTAGAAACTTCTTTTATTTAGAAATTATTTAAACTACAAATTCGGCTAGAGTTTGATTGCCACAAAGCCTTGCACTTTCAAAAAGTAAAATTTATCCATAAAACTTAAGAGAAGTAGAAATTTTGTTGTCGTTAATCACTTTATTTAATATCTCAGTAAGAATGTTTATAATATATAGTAAGTACTAAACAGTTTTGAAATAACATTAAAGAAGGCCGACTGACGTACATGTATACACCACTTATCAAGTTTGGTATGAAAGATGATGCACTTAGAGAATATCGGAATTAATATTAAAAGAATATTTTGCGATTGTCATTTCTGCGGATTTGTCCTACCCGCAAATTAAAAGTTTGCAAAAAATGGACAACTGCAGAAAATACCCGTTATACAGAATATTCTTGTTTTAAGGATTTGCTACCATACGGTATAAAAAATACCTTGAAACTTTTCATTCCATCCCCAGAATCTCTTTTGATTGAATATAAAGCTATAGAATATTAATTAAATATGAATATATATAAATGTTAGTCTCTCGGGTCTCAGTTAACTTCCTGTACTACCATTTGGATGCAGGGAAACTGATTGAAAGAAAAAGGTTACATAAAGATCATCCATATAGTATTTTGTTTCTCACATTTGCAATTATTCTAATGTCTCCTGATTTCCTTGAAGAATTCCATTTCAATCTCCAATGGATTTTTCTCAAATTAAAACATATTTATATATTCTATATCAATCTGCAATAATTTAATTTCCTGAGGGTAAGATATTAGACTTCCATCCTTACTGTTCATTCCCAGAGGCGAACGCTTCAGGTCAATAGCTTTTATAAAATGATAAAAATCTTGTTTGATAGCTTTAGGGTAAAAGCTCAAGATTTTACTGTGAGCATGTGCATTTTCTCAATCTTCTGTATATTCCACAGTAAAATTGTGAAAGGATTTCTTTCATAAATAAGCTGTTTCATCTTTGTATTTCTGTTATGTTTAAAAATGAAATCGAGCGCTACAAATTTTTTTTTCACATCTCAAAGATGTACTTACTGACAATCACCAACCTTTTTGTCCTATAAAGTAAGGGGGAAAACTTTAGCGTCATCTTTGAAGGAAAGGGATAATTTTTTCAAAGCTCAAATATAAAGCTGACATTGTTCGTGATTTTTAAAAAATGGATCAAGTAGCTAAAACTTTTGCAAGCATCTTTTATCCCCCCAAAGAAAATAAAAAAGAAATAAAATAAAATATGCCCTATGAATAAATGTATGAAGTATGAATTTATGAAAAAATTATATGAAATGAAAACAACAAATCAACTTTAAGAACGAAAAATTTAAGAATACTTTTTTTTCAATGAATGAAAATTAAATAAAATCTAATTTGAGGAATTTTGAATAAAGGGATGTTTTCAAAAAGATTCAGAGGGTTGTGAATATTTGACCCTTTTGTTGAATGCAAACACATTGAAGAACATGACCACTAGTACTCTACAGTTTAGGTTATATTGTGATTATTAAAAATAAAGTGTCAACAATTGCAAAAATGAAATGTTCCTTCATGAGTATGAGTCAACGTTATTCAAATTTTTTGTAGGATTAATTTATACTTATAGGAAGACAAAATAAACTCATATGGTCGACGAAAGACGTCAGTGTGTATGACGGATATGAGAAAATATAGAAAAGATATCTTTTTGGAGGGAGTTTTTGTGCCTAAAATACATGACACAATTACGAGATATCGATGATCTATATTCTCTACCTGATATCTTTTTGTTTCGCATCCAATACTTTTTGATATATGGATGAATTATTTTTTTTATGGTTTTAATTGGAAAAAAATAAATTGAAATTTCTATAGGATAGCATATTAATTTGCTCCTATTATTCTAGAAAGAAGAAAGTTTGATAGACATTTTAACATTGGTTTTCATTTCATGTTTTATAGTTGGTATTTTCACCTTCCCCCCCTCACACACACACACATAAATCAAAAAAAAAAAAAAAACATAAAAGAAAAGAAAAGAAACACAAAAGTTTTAGGAGGTGATTAGATGGTTTCGTAGAAAATTCTTCAAATAAAAGTAATATTCGAAACCAGTTGTCTTAGATAACTTCAAAACATGACTTTGAAGTAACATAGAAAATTCTAACATATTTACACGCAAATGTTTATTGGCAATAATATGATAACAAAATAAAATTCAAATTTTCAAAATCTATATACTGTCATAAACTGTATCTACAAATTATACAACAATGCAAGATTAGATTATGTACGTAGACATTCCTCTGAGAATTCAAGTCAATGAATAAAGGTTAACAAACAACACTAAATACGATTAAAATTTTACTGGGTGAAGACTTTTTCTCAAGAAATGCAAGGTTATTGTATTGGTGTATACCAGCATTCACATTTAAGCTCCTTAACAAAATATTTTTAATTCACCATATTTTCACAGATATATACGTAGAAATGTAGGATCAGGATATTATGTTTTTCGGTTCAAGTCATGTGATTTTATATTGAAGTAGGGAAGAAGGATGTAAATTTTGATTACGGAAAGTAGATCAAGAGCTTATTTAAACAATGAATAATAATCACATTTAACTTAAGTCAATTTAGATAATAAAAAGTAAGATTTATCCTTGTTACGACTATTAAGAGGTATTTAGATTGATACTATCATCCTACAATAAAACATGTAATCTCTGTAGAAAGGAATCTAATTAAAGAAGCAGTACTTTCAAAGTATGTTCAAAATGTCAAATATTAAATGATTTAATTGAGTGTACGCGGCCACATTGTCGTTTAACAATTCTATACAAACATTTCTTTATACCAAGAAATATGATGTCTGTTTTAAATTTCTTCGTTGAAGTGCTTTAAGTGCATATACACTTGCTCAGAGCCAATCTGTTTATCAGACTTTAAATGAGTAGAAAAAGTCAAGTTGTTCAGTTTATGACCAGCATACACACTGTCTCTCATTAGACCAGCAAAGAGACCCTCTCTTTTTTCTTCCTTTGGAACAGCATATACACTGTTACTCTCTTCTTTAATCAAATGGTAATTCTGCTGTATTTGTTTTGTTTTTCTGAATAAAAAGTAATTATATCAAATAAAAATATAATGTCCATATGCACACTGCTAAAATTTCAAAAATACATAAATATAAATTCTTTACGCTAACACTGTTGACATTTGATGCTTTCATATACCTGTTGCAAGTGATGATAACGATGCTAAACGCAGTGAGAATAAAAAGAAAAAGGGCACTTGAAAGAATAATCCAATATTGTATTCCCATTGTCTTTAAGTTTCCCCAAAGTCCCTTTTCAGTGATCAAAACTTTAACATACACGTCTGTTGAAATGTTGGCATGATTAGACATGACACTGCCATCTGTGCTTAAATTGCTTGTAGGGCTCACTAGGGAAGAAGATTGATAACTTTTTTATCTATTAGAAAGCATACATATCAGTAAAAATTCACCATTAGAAAGAAATGCAAGCTAAAATGTGAGTTTACTTTTAAAAAGATAAAGCTATATTTACGAGAGGAAAGTTTATCCTTAACACAACCGAGGACATCATCACACTTATTATCTGGGCATGTACATGTTTTTCTACATCTAGGACCAAACCATCCAGGAGGGCATGGATTTACACAGTTATGTCCGAATGATCCAACACATTCTAAAAGAGAAAGAAATGCGTCTCTGTGTCATATCAAACAGTTTTTGACGATTAGAACACTAAAACCGATGTAAAAAAGTAAGTTTAAAACCTGCACTCCTCTATTTGATTCAAAGATATGCCCTTTCACAAGAAATTGTCTTTAGACTGATTTGAACAATGGGAGATTCTACATGCAGTGTATTCAAATCAGAATTTTTTTAAAACCTGATAATTAATTGAGAAAATAAAGCTAATATGCAGCATTCATTCATCATGAATGAGAAGATTTGCATATGCAACATCTGTGAAAACTTGTCAATATATTTCTATGAGCAGGATTTGAAACAAAGTATTCGTCATAACAATACATCCACACCAGGGTTTTTTTTTTTTTTAAATTAAAGACAAATTCACTTGGGGATTAACTTGCTGGAAGAATTTAACTTAAAATTCGATTACACACAACAACACTAAAGAATTATTACTGCTATGCATTCTAAGTGGCATAATTCAGACAAGTAGTTCAGCAATGGAACAGAAGACATTCGAGAATGGAAAATTCAGAAGTTTTCAATCTATTTACCCGTCCAGAACATGTAGGTCACATCCTACATTCGAATGATTTCTGAAAGTGACATCCCAGGATGCAATGCAAGACGCAGAGTCTATGCAGTTCAGTAAAGGTGAGATATTTATTATTGAATACGGTTCAAAAATCTATTTGATCATTTATCCAGAAAAAAATCTTAATTTACCGCTTAATTTTATAAGGAGATTCTTTGACAAACATCAGTTTAAAAAAATGGCTTTTAAACTACTGGGAACCATGGCAAATCATAATTTCATGTAAACAATTTCTTGGGCATCCATATGTACATGTATGCAGGAAACAAAATTAAATGTTTGCAACTATTTTAATTCAATGTTGTTTTAAATTGTTATACTAGATCAATAAGTTCTGCTTACCTTGGCATGTATCATTCAGTTCATAAAAACCAGTGCAGCAAAATCGGGTTCCACTGCAAAATGAAAGGGTTTAAAATGAAATATAACATTACAAAAGCACAAATGCAACATTTAATTTCTTATTAGAAGTTATATTACTGACTCTGTTTGCTTACACCCATTGACCGTCCCAGGTGGGATGGACAAAACTTCAGATAAATAACACAATATACCAATAATTGACAAGACAAAAAAAGTCATTTTGCACAAAACTCCATTCCATCATTTCTATTCAATTTTAAATAAGTATATATATATATATATGTATATTTATTTCCTTCCTGTATTTATAACACTTTTAACCCTAGCCTTGAGCACTTATTTCGGCCACAGATAGTTATGTTTTATATATATACAATGATGAAAACACTAGGAAAACTTTTAAAATCTTGTATTAGTTCTTACAAGTGCTATACGTGTCATTAGCGGCCATCCCTGCTCTTGAATAGTAAGAATTACATCGAGTTGAAAATGTTACGACATTTCTTCTTATAATAAAAATGATGCTTAATGAAAAGTGTGCTGCAGTTCTGGTTTGTTCTTGGTCGTTACTAAAAGCCTCTTTTTTTTTGTAAAATATGCTGTGAAAATTTGTTTTAAACCTGTCCAGGCGAGTTGGCATCACTGCTTGTCACTTGAAAAAATGAAGTGTGGGAACATTCCTGCTTTATTATTATTTTTAAATATAGATTTTTCCTGTTTACTTTTGCAGTACCATCTAATCAGTGATACTGGTTCCATCACGGTTTAGAATAAGGACGTTTTGTATCATGTGATTGCCTTGCACATGACCGGCACGATTGTAAGACACAACAAAGACAATGTACTGGAACAGGGGATCTTCTGCTTGATATGAAATATTTTAATCAATAAGAAAGGAATATTATTTGCTGAGTTTTGTCAATCGTACCCAAACTAAAATAAATCTTATAGAAATACTTGGTATTTTGGATGAAAAGAATGGAAGTAAAGGAATGCTTCTCTATTTTGGTTTTAATACATAATGTGTTGGTATAAAGCTATAAGAAGGTCTTCAAGTACCATTTGAATAATGCGTAAAAGTGTAGATAACGAACCGTGATTAATCTCATAAACCCAACAAACAAAACGAATTTTGAATAGGGCAATAACACGGGGCCCTGGAAACACCAGAGGTGGGATAAGGTGCTTAGAAGGAGTAAGCATCCCCTGTCAATCAGTCACAACCGCTGTGATCCCTATGTATTGATCAGGTAGACAGTTCACCGTGGTCAAATTTAGTATAAAAGCAATGACCTAACAATGAAATATGTCAAACCAAATACAACCCAACGAAAGGCTAAATTTGCAAACAAGGCCATTATAACGACTGCAGAATTTACTTTACTTTAAGTTTGCTTTAAGCGGAGTTGTTGAAATCCTTGTAACATCAACTTATTTGTCAGTAGCTTGCCTCAGATTAAAATTGATCGTACTCGGAGCATGATCTTGCGTATTGAATCACTTTGGAAATATAAAAACCGTATGCAGATGATCTTAGAATATTGCTACATAAATAAGAAAAGTTGACGAGCTGAAGTTATCCCGTTATTCATACAATTTAGTTGGCCATTATCGTCTATAGTCAGTAATAAATCCAAATAAAAACCAAATGTGACAGAAGCTGCCATTTCTTTCATATTACTATAGTAAGTTCACCGGGATATATCGAGTCGACATAAAAGTAACTATTATTTATTGATAAAACTTTGTCTATCTGAATGTTGAGTTTATGGCCACATCAAGAGTGAATTATATACATAAAGAATGAAATAATCATTACAATGAAATTATTTATGGAGATAACGAACAGTATTCAAGGTCAAAAGTCCATTAAACAATACAAATTTTGGAGCAGAGCAAACACGGACCTCTAAAACATCAGAGGTGGGATCAGGTGCCATGGAGGAGTGAGCATCCCCTGCCGGCCGGCCACACCCGCCCTGTGCTCCTTGTCATGATCGGGTAATAACGGAAAATCCGTCGACAATTCAGTGTGTAAATAATGGCCTAACAATTAGTATGAAAAACGTCATGATCAGTCAGCATTTGACTTAATAATAAATTGTATTTGCTGACAAACCGTCACGGTAGCTCAGTCGATAGAGCGCTCGCTCCGTGATCAGAAGGTCATGAGTTCGAATCTCGGCCGCGACTGACTTAAGTCGATAAAAAATCGGTAGCAACTGTTCCTTCTCCATGCGCTCGGCACTTTAAAGTGAAAGATATGGGTCCTTCGGATGAGACCTTAAAAATCGAGGCCCCGTGTCACGACAGGCGTTGGCACGATAAAGATCCCTCACTACTGAATGGCTCTGAGTGCAGAGTAAAGGTCTAAATTTGAAACCATTCACCGGTATACGGTGACGTCTCTATATGAGTGAAAAGTTCTCGAATGGGACTTAAAACAAGATACAATCAATAAATCAATATTTGCTGACAAGGTAATTGTATCGACCATACAACTTACAAAAAAACAACTTTAAACGAGACTGCTGATATTCTTGTTCCATCAACTTGTTTTTTGTCAATAACTTACCTCGTTTTAGAAATTGTTCATACGTAGAGCATGCTCTCGCGTATCGAATCAACTGAGAGATATAAACCCCGTATGTAGGTGATGAAGGTATATTGCTGCATAAGTAAGGGAAGTTGACGATTGAAAAGTTAAAGTCATCACGTTTATCATAAAGCTTGGTTGTTAGATTACCATTAACGTCTTTTTCTAGTAAAATATCCACATATGAAACAAATGTGTCAGACTCTGTGGTATCTTTTATTTCAAGCTCACTGGGTATATCGTATCGACATACGAATGGAATAACCATTGTTAATTAATAATACGTCGTTGATATATCTAAATGTCGAGTTGAAGGCAACAACAAGTGTTTTCTTCTTTTCAGGTTTTGAACAAATTCTGCTTCATATAAATACAAAAATAGGTCTCCTAATAACGGGGCGCAATTGGTACCCATGGAAATTCCAATAGATTGTTGGAAGACCTAGTCTCCAAAAACCACATAGATATTTTCAATCAGAAACTCAGGCACCTTTTTAATATCAACTTCAGATTATTTGTGTGTACAATCAAAATGTTTTTTAACAAAATAATTTTGCAAATGACCAATGACAAGACAAGTAAATTTACGAGTTCCATTTTTATTGAAAAAGCAGCTGTCAATGATGTCAAAAAGCCTAGACTTTAACATCAATTCTCTGTAAGGACCAAAATTTTACTGTAGGACTGTGGCACACACCATGAGCGATTTTCATGAAACTTTTTCAGGTGATTAATGCCCATACATTATGACATAATCAACATTCAAAATTAAGGTTACTACCTTGGTTGCCATGGTATCGGGATAATATAAATTTTTGTCCCATTTACTCTCAATTCAAGCATAAAAATGCTATATACTTGATTTCATGTGGTTTAATCATCTTTATTATTTTGAGATAATTCATACATTATATGAATAGAACAAATGAAGCACTATATAACATAATAAAGAAAAATTCTACAAGTCACTGCAAATTCTTCAATTGATGACTCAAAGATGAACAAATTCTTACATTTTGAAAATGGTCGTTTTTACCCCATATTTCAAGAAGTCTTTCAAGAAATGCAGGCAATTCAAGAAAAAATCACCTGAAATTTAAGAAACACCATAATAATATTAGTTAAATTTTATGAAAAGTAGAGTCGGGATTTTTTTTTCGTTTTCGGTATATTTAACTTCGAAAATTGGCATTTTGCCAAATAATATTTTTTTTTCAAAATGTTACTAGACACTGGTTGTTTTATAAAATTTCTTTTCCAAACATTTTTCTCACGAATAGATAAGACAAACGGAATGATAAGTAAATATTATTAAAGATAATAAATAAGATGTAACAAAATTACGTGAATTATTACTGTTTCTCTATGATCCTTTACAAAGGGCGGGTAACTCAAAATCTAAAGAAAATTAGCTATTCAACTTTTCACTGGAACTTATTTCAGTAAATAACATTTTCAAATACTAGATAAAAAAAAAAATGGAAAAAGATAATGGATAAAAACTCTAATGATACTTTTCAACCAAAAAAATAAATAAATAAATAAATAAATAATAAATTATTACTTTTTCATGCATAGGTAGGTAGATATTAATTTAGCAAGTTTGAAATTTGATAAGCTAATGTTAATTTCCTCCATTTAAATTTTGCTTGTTCCCAGATGCAAATCTTTAGATATCAATTTTATTTAGATAAAGAAATTTATAATTATTTAGACTGACCATAAATTAACAAAAATAAAAATGAAACCATTAATGTATATTCTTACACTCAGAAAACATACACATATTCATATGTATATGTATAATCTTATCGTTACTTAAAACAGTTTGGTTTTTTTTTTCAAATTATTATTCAAACAAGAATCTACATCTAAACATTATCCAAAATGTGTATTTAGAGATAAACAAAATGCAGAAAATAACTGCTATATAGCAATTTTTAGACAATAAAAACAGCTAGGCTTGATGTTTCCATGATTTCTCTTTACATCAGAGGTTGGCCATTATGTGGTGTTGTGTCTGACAAGTCAAGAAGAATTTTAAATGGGTTTGAAAAGTGAAACTTGAAATAATCATCTTCATCTTTTCCCCTGATTGTTTAATATCTACTACATTTTTCATGTGATAACAAATACAAGTATATAAGCATATCTATTTTTATTAAAATGTATATAATACTAAGATGGTAGTTAGTATTTACAACTCCAAATAAATTGCCTCAGAATTCCTGCATGTGTACTTTAAAAAGCAGGCTTCTTATCACAGGTGCTTGGGTACGGACCTCCCCCCCCCCCCTTGCCCTGCGTTCCATACCCCAAGGGTTCTCCCCGACTTTTTTTATATAAAATATTTTTCTATGACACATTCACAAAGTTTGTTTTTAATTGACTTTAGACATAAACAAACATACATACACATACACAAACAGACACACCACGGCTGGAAAGCTTACATACAGATTTTTAGGAATAAACATGAAATAAAAAAAATATGAATACACAAGATATACTAAAATAATAATGTAGATGACATAAATTTATCTATATGTTTATGTTTTCAAATATCTGGTTCCAGTTAATCCATCTTCTTTTATAGCTTATAC